ATAACAAAGCAATTTAATCAGCCATGTATACCTATACATCGTTTCTTCTTTACATCGCATCACTATTACATCGCATCACTATTACATCGCTTCGTTTACATCGCATCTGTGTACATCACATTTATTACATCAGAAAAATTACATCGGTTTTGTGTGTCACATCATTTGATTCTGTGTACATCGTACAATGTGATATTACACAACCGATGGATTTACCTGGTTGCAGCAGTTTGGATGTAATATTCAACAACTTTTGTTTCTGTGTAGGAGGGAATGTGTACTGTCATTTTAGATAGTTACATTTCACTCCAACAGTTGCAATGAATTTGACGCGCTCTTCTTAAACAAATCATCCCGTGGAAAGCTTAACATGTATTGCGAATTTCGTTATTCATTTTGTTGGATCATATTGTTGGAAGGAGATTCTCTTATTCCCGCGGGTTTCGCATAAGTGCCTCTGCTTACGGGCCCGTCCAACCCTTTTTGGCCCTTCATACAGCAGTATGTTGAATTCAGAATGATGATGGAATTTGATCTTGCTGTTGAGTGGAGCCGCATGCAGGGCAAGACCCAAGCTAGGATGGTGGCTACTTACATACATACATACATACCACTGCTATGCAAACATGTTTTTCGCTATTTTTACCTCATAGTTTGTTAAAAGAGGTTCTTATCTAGCGTCCAAAACGTTAAATACAACAGGGAAAGGTTATGCAGCTGAGTTATTAACGAAAGAGAAAGTCGACAAAGAGAATGGATCAATGTAGATAGGACCTTTCGAAATGTTTATCTAGGTTTTATCTATGAAATGCATGACACAAATTTAGACAGAAAAATAACAAAAATTGACCTTCAGATAGACCTTGAGCTACACTGTAACTGGAAAGTACCCATTAATGGGTACAATTGGGTTCTTTAATTTTGAAAAATGTATCGTTTTTTATACATCATCTGAAAGAGCTTCGTTTTCGGAGCACAGCGATATTTTTTTTGGAACCCACACCTTTTCATCTCGATTTTTAAATCAAGATTTAAAGCAAAATAATAACTTCACTGTTTGACACTAAACTAACAAACTGACAGCTCGCTCCCATACAAAGTGACACCGAGGGGCGCTAATAAGGTGATTTTTGCAAATGTAATCGTACTTATTTAAAATAGTTCCAGTGTACCAAAATTGATGAAATTTTGGGTTTGGGTTCCATTTTTAATGCAGATTACGAATATGCATTTACTTCAATACCCTTAAAGAACCCAATTTCTCAATTTAGGACCATTTTGAAGGTAAAGTAGGTTAACTCATTTAATGGGTAAAAAAAACTTATTAATACTCAAAAATGAGTACTTGTTACCCATTAGTGGGTAAACGTTACTCATCAATGGGTATTTTTACCCATGTTATGGGTTAACCTACTTTACTTCAAAATGGGTGAAATTGTACTCATCAATGGGTACTATAATGTTAGAGTGTACAGTCTTCTAACGTAAATACGACCCTGGGTCTTATAAATGAATATTTCAGGCATAATACTTGATAACGGCACAAAAGCATTTGTAAACAAACATCCTAAGGCTTTTTACACGCGAACCAAAGTACGCCAACGCAAACCAATACCACTTCCGGAAAGGTGACAGTTGCCCCTATCCGATGATGTTGTTGGTTTGCGTGGGCGTGCTTTGGTTTGCGTGTAAAGGGCCTTAGAAAGTTTGTTTACAAATGCTTTTATGCCGTTATCAAATGTTATGCCTGAATTTAAAATATAAACACAGACAAACAGACATAACTCTTAGAAGAAAATTCTTCAAAAAATATCGTCAAGCGTATTTTGCATTTTTTTGGTGCTACCATCTATCATCCACATTCCCAAGCATTGATGTGCAACTAGAGCATCCCTCGTTCATGCCATTTTTTCACCAGTTGCTTTTCCCTCGTTCTGTCAACGCGTCAGCTGTTTTGAATAAAAACAAAACAGATGGAAGTCAGTGATGTCGGTTCTACTAAATTTTCCGTAGATCTATAGAATTGATTGAATTCTGCAGAAATATGGATCTGTAGGAAAAATTCACAGATGTCAAGACTTTTTTTAAGGATTTGTTTTATTTGTTTATTGTGTTTTTTCTTTTACTGGAAACAAGTTTTTAAACATTACCTCTTTTGCATCACTTATTAGTGCCCTTTCTACCACCGCTCATCACTTTAATGTGTGTACAGCAAAAATATATATGTAATATGTATCAATCAATGAAATTCATGGTGAAGTATTGAACATCAATAACTGGTAAAAGGGGTGAAAGTTGATAGAATATTACAGTCATCAACATGATTTGTTCTCGAATTCTGTGTTAATCGTACAGCGTAATATTAGGAACGGAATGACTAATGTGCAGCACTTTCGATGTAATATTCAACTATTTTTTTCTATATTCGTCAAATGTGGTATGTGTCTCCAGTGGGATGCCTTGACCACTTATCATTGTCAAGAGCTGACATCTACTATCTAGAAGTGAAAAAGAACTGGCATCACTGATAAGTTCGAAATTTGGTGGCTTGCTCAATGCTTCAGTGGCGCCACCATGGCAAATGTAAGCACATTCCCAACTAAAACATTATTTGCGATGAATGTGATTGTGAGTGTTATGTCTGTTTGTCTGTGATATGAATGTATTAAAAAATATGAAAAATCAATTTTTTTTTATTTCGACAACGGTCTAATCGAGATTTTTCGTGTTACTTTTCAAATAGACCAATGTTACATATCCACCATTTTGAGAAAATCGAAGTTGAAGTTCGACAGATTATTATTTTAACTGTTTAGAAACAATACATTTTGTAATACTATTTTCAATGTAGTCAGTGAATAATAACGTTGAAAATTCAGTAAAACTGTAAAATCTCAATTTTGATTTGAATTTCATGCTACACACAAAAACAAATATTTTAAAAGTAATAATATTTGACGTAAAATCAATAAGAATTTCATTTTGTTTTGGCTGCAAAAAGAAATCATTATTGTTTTAACAATCCAGTATTTTTGTTTCTAAAAACCCATGGATTGTTAAATCAAAAAGAAAATCTTTTCGAATTTACAAGAGCTTTCATGGTTTTGGCGTAAGCTGTCAAATTTGGCAGCTGGGTCAACAACAAAAATATGTTTGTTTTTAAAAGAGATTTCTTGTTGATTCAATCATATTTATTTTATAAAGCCTGACAATTCACGCAGTAGAAATAAAAATTTGTTTATTGATGCAAAAATAATATGGCAATTTTTTTATGTTTCGTTTTCTTTTTGAAACAAAATTGCAGAAATTGCAATTGAATTTCTGAGGCATAAAATAAAAGCCCCCAGTTCATGAGTTGATGGGTCGATATGTAGGGTCCAGATGTGGGAGCTGCCTTCCTGGCGTCGGGAGCATTGGTACTCAGTACGAAAAACATGATCGACGAAAAAAAAACAGAAAAATTGATTATATTTATCAACTGCAGCTCGAATTGCAGCATACTTACTTACCTCAAGTCTCAAGATTTTCGAAAATCTTGCACTTATTTCCCGAAATTCACAATTAAAAACAATACTTACGTGGAACGCGGAAGTATTGTTATTGTTTACATTTTTGTCCGGGTGAAAACGAGGGAATCGTTGGTAGTTATTTTTGCTTTCATGGCCCAGAGAATGGACACAGCAAATAAATGCTAAATTAAAATTAACTATTGTTGGCTTAATAATAGAATATTGTTATTTTTACAATAGTTGCAGTTGAAAAGTGGCTGATTAAAACAAAAAGAATCCTATTTTGAATTTATATGAATAATTATTATTGAAACAACAAAATGCAATATAATTTCAATCGGAATTGTTTGCTTAAATACAATTGGGTTCTTTAATTTTGAAAAATGTATCGTTTTTTATACATCATCTGAAAGAGCTTCGTTTTCGGAGCACAGCGATAGTTTTTTCGAACCCACACACTTTCATCTCGATTTTTAAATCAAGATTTAAAGCAAAATAATAACTTCACTGTTTGACCACAGACAAACAGACATAACACTTGCAAGTTGTTCGTCGAACAAGCATTTAACGGACAATTTAAAAGTATCGTAGTTGGTAGTACCGCCACCTGTGGCGCGCATAGTCAATTCCCTTGCGTTTGACGTTTACACACTGCCGCCATCTGTTCAGTGTAGTGCCCACAAGAGTGTACTCAACAGATGGCGGTAATGTTTTAGCGACGGTGTTTTACAGTGAGAAATATTCAATGTGTTATGTCTGTTTGTCTGTGGTTTGATTTTGATTTCTACTTCAGCATCGAAATAAAATGTACTCCTTACGTCAAAAATTAGAAAACATTACAATTTAGATGTATGTATATTTATACAAGGTAACGTAACGTAACGTACAGACATGATTGTAGCATAGGCTACAACCATGTATGTCGATAGAGGTCGATAGTATTCGATCTTTTGCATGGATCGGGTTGAATTGTTGAAACGTTGTATTTCGTACATGTTTCGCCCTACCAACCAACACTAGTCAACTCTCCTCAATATTCAAGGGACCATCATGTTTTAGAAAAAAAACAGCAACATCGTTTTATAGAATCAGAAAAAAATCTTAAAATCTTCAACCTATATTCTCGCTTAATTTCGAACAAAAAAAAAATAGTGGAAATGGCTCTAATGTTGGTCTATGGATCTAGCATTGGGCCCATCGCTAAAAATCTGCTATTTATCAATTTTATCTAGATGAACGCGTCATTGGGACGGTACTAATGGATATTTTTGGTCGCTATTGAATTTAGTCCATTGCTGAATTTATGTATGGGCCCAAATAGGGGCATTTAAGCCGACATTACATCCATTTCCCCTATCTAAACAAAAATATGGATGCATGATAGTGATATGTAACAAACACGGTTTTAGACTAGGTTGACATGATTTATTGAATACGCTTCTAGTTTTACGTAATCTATTGTTCGTTTAACAGCACATTGTTTGGGCTTCCTTAGTACTGGATACTGTTACATTACTGAACTAATTTTTGTTTAATAATTTAATAGTCGGTACCATTAACCTAGTAAAACACCAACATACACTTCTGATTTACTTAGCCTTACCCTGGTTTGCAACGGATTCGATGGCCTTGCGAACGGTTTCTTCGTCGCCAAGGAACTTCATCGAGACAACGGGCTTCATATTTTCATCCAGTTCGTACACGAACGGAATGCCAGTGGGCAAGTTCAGACCCATGATAGCTTCGTCGGTCATCTGGTCCAGATGCTTCACAATACCGCGCAAGCTGTTGCCGTGGGCAGCAATGATGATATTTTTGCCGGCCTTGAGTTGAGGAATGATAACGTCGTTCCAGTATGGCAGTGTACGAGCGATGGTCAGCTTCAGCGATTCAGCCATTGGGAATTCCTCCGGCTTTGGATCACCCTTGTAACGCTCGTCCTTGACGATGGCATTGTAATAAGCATGTTCCGGTTCCATATTTGGTGGTGGGACATCGAAGCTACGACGCCAGATCAGAACCTGCTCTTCACCGTACTTGGCAGCAGTTTCGGATTTGTTCAATCCAGTCAGTCCACCGTAGTGGCGTTCGTTAAGACGCCATGTCTTTTCAATGGGAATTCCAGCTTGACCCGATTCGGTCAGGATGGAGTTCAAGGTGACCTGAGCACGGGTCAGAAGAGAAGTATGGGCAACGTCGAATTTCAATCCGCCCTCCTTGACAGCCTTTCCTGCGGCCAGGGCCTCTTCCTTACCTACAGAAAGATTGTAATTATAATGATATTGGTCAAACGTAATCCTGGTGGATAATTAATCCTTTGTTAGGACAGATCAGGAAATTGATTACACTTGTTACATCACACAGTTGTCTGTGCTATGTGCATGTATTCGGGGGGTCAAGGCTAGTTTCACTTTCACCCATTATCACTTACCCTTTTCGCTAAGATTGGCATCGTACCAGCCGCAGAACAGATTCTTCTGATTCCACTCGGATTCACCGTGACGGACCATCACAATACGGTATTTAGCAGCCATTGTTCGCAGCAGTTGTTTTGAGATTATTTTACTGGAAATTTAATCTAGGATAATCACAGGACACTAACGGCACGGCAACCGGACAAGGACTCCGAACCTGAAGAAAATTAGCGAAAAACTGATCTTTTGTTGACCTCTATTTGACAGTGGCAAGGTCAAAATATTCCGTAGCCCTTTAGAATTTTCTTAACGACTGAAGCACGGTTAAGTATTTAGAAATTTTTGAATGTGGGTTTTACTCTAAATTAAATGAACAGTCTATTTTAACATTATCATTAGTGTTTACCATCCTCATGCTATATATTGTTTGTAATATTCATTTTTTTCAGCGAACCACATTATTTTAATTGATTTCTTCGCCAGTTAGTCATCTGCCACTTAGTTTGTGCTATTACGTAGCAGTTCCATTTGCACTGCTTTACTTCTTGAAACTGATGTTTGATTCACTGCGCAAAAATCGCCTGTTCACAACTTAAGTGTGCCATTTTGAACTTGGGAAAGATTTATATGAGAATCATTTACCTAGAATCTGGGTAGATTCCACCCATAGGAACAAAACCACTTTACTCATTTTTCGACAACTATATACAGCATGCAAACATTAGTGCTATCTACCCAGTTACTGAGTAGCCTCAAAATAGCGTGTATACCTCTGGGTAGAAGTGTTTCTCTTTCTGAGTTATTATCAGTGACCGTGAAGAACTCAACAAACAAATACAAGACCTACAATTGAAAAGGCCTCAACTCCGTTTTGTAACCAAACTTGTAAGGCCATTTTGTTGCGAACCGAAGTCCGCCAACGCAAACAACAAAATGAACAGGTAAGGGAAATCTTCCTCTACCCGATTGTGTTTTAGGTTTGCAAAGGTATACATATAGGTTTCGGTTCACGAGAAAATGGCCTTACAAGGTTTGTTTAAAAAAATGAGTTGAGGCTTTTTCAATTGTTGGTCTTGAAATGGTTAAAATTTCTAGACCAACAATTGAAATAGGCGGAACAACCAAACATAATCAATGGCTTTAAACACATAATTCTCGAGAATGAAAACACTCCCACACAAGCTAACAATGCCATTCGATAAAGGAAGTTTGCTCTTTCAGATGTGCTTTGATTCACGAGTAATTTGCGTTTAAAGCCATTGCTTACATTTGGTTGTTCCGCCTATTTCAATTGTTGGTCTAGATTTGTTTGAACATAAACAACACTGCCCGTTCTGTTTACGAAAGTTGCTTTCGCCAGGAGTAGTTCTAAAAGCAAAATTAATTTCGCCGCCGAATTCCAATCCACCTCCGGCAAACTTCGTAATGGTGAGAACCAGAATGATTTCAAAAAGTTGCCCTAGTTGTGAACAGCAAGTGGCCATTGCCTCCAAACGGTGCTCGTGCGGATATTCGTTTAATGGTCGCCAAGCAAACAGTGCATACGTTCCACCTGCCAATGTAGGCCGACCGAAAGGAAGTAAAAAGGGTAAACCTACAGCGGCCGAAACACGGAAAGCAGCAGCAGTGGTCTCTGCCGCACAGGTTCAACGACGGAGGACCGGCAGAGTGCGGCGTGAGAAACCCAATTATTACGACTCCCTGCAGTATGAAAAGAAAAAGAAAAAAACTAAGGTACCTACTACACATAGGGTATAAAACACCCCCTTTAAATTTCTATGAATTCAGGCTTAATAGGTAAATACATTTCTGATGGGCATTCCAGGTGTTTAATGGGTCAACTCTGCTTCACGAATTTTTGTCTGTCTAACCCTTATAGACTCGGAAACTACAATCGATCGGCATGAAAAATTGGGGGTTTTTGGGGCCGGGAAAGGTTCTTATGATGGCTCGAGACCCCTCCCCCTCTGTAAGGGGAGGCTCCCATTTGGTATTTTAGTAAACATATTTAAGAAAGTTTTTATTGGAATTGTAATTGTAATTTATTTAGTTTACGATACCCTGTTGGTTGTACCCTTTATCAGGTCAAGGTCTATATTTGTGCTGTATGAGACATCTAAATTTAATGCTTTAAGCTGGGTTTAGACTAGGCAAGTCAAATGATCAACTCAGTTGAATTCAATTGGCTTGAAAAGTTGAGCCTGGTTCAACTTTTTTCAATTCAAGTGAGTTGATCAAGTCAGTTGAATGGCATGGCTTACACGTTCAATTTGCGTTCAAGTCAGTTGAATTCAACTGAGTTGATCATTTGACTTGCCTAGTCTAAACCCAGCTTTAATGTCACACCTTTGGTGAGTGGTGTACTATCCGTTTGGAATATACATGCCTATTCTGCGCGGCATGTGAGCTGAGGTGACACGTTGTCACTTGTGAAGGAAGAATAATTGTCACCTTGGGTGAGGTGACTCTTGGTGCAAATCAAATTGTCACTACTCTGTCACGCTGCGCAGAGTAGGCCTAAGAACATACAGTCTCTTTGTTGTGGGAGCATATTCGTTCATAGATGGGGCATATTTCCCCGCCTAATTGAAGAACCCCGAATTTTAGAGTTGTCGAAAGAAAAACCATACTTCTATGTTAACTGCCACCGAAGAAAAATAAATGATCACAGGTTATTTCTAATTCCCAATGCAACATATACGAGATTTTTTCGTTAATTAAAATGAAACGATAAAAATATAGCTGTTTTTCCTTAAGGAGGTGTATTATGCCTGTTTACCCTATAAACTTGTCAATTATATTGTAGCAAAAGCACAGAGTTTCATTTTCGTAATGATTTTTCGCACTTTTCAGAAACCTACCAGGTCAGCACTATTCAAAGGGAAGGAGGGAAAACAAACGCAACTGATTAGCACCAAAGAAACGCAAGTTTCTCGGGCCAATCGGCATGCACAGCGAAGGGCTAAGAAAGAGGAAATCGACGGCGGGGGAGATTTAGCTGCTAAGTAAGATTAAAAAAAAAAAGAATAAACAATTCAAAACTCATTGCTTGTAATTGCTAAACATTTTAAAATGATTTCACTTACCTTTCTAGGATGCCGATGGATAAGCAGGAAATCGCAGCACTGATTCTATCGGAGATAAATCGGAAAATGGGTTCAGTCGTGTGGAAACAACCATGATGTAATAAACAATAGTTAGTAGCTAGGTTATTGTACTAAATGTAGGAGTATGTTTGTCCTGCAATAATTTATTGACTGTGTGAGGATAAAAATTTGAACTCTTTTAAGTTTACATAATTGGTCGCGAGTGGAATGCATGAAATTCGTTTATTTAACGGCAAAACTCCGAAAGCACATTACTTCAGGGATTCGGACACTTTGGATGGAAATATGTTTGCTATTTACATAAACTATTTTACATAACATAGTTTGTTACGGATTCACTTGCTATTTACTTCTTGCTTGATCAAACATGATCTTCACATGGTGGCAGCTTTGCGGACAATGATGACTTCCAAACAATCTGGGTGGGCGTTGGCCAAATTTGGATTTTTCAGATGTAATCCTAAATAGGACCTAGATTATTTAATACTCTAGTAACCTCAAGTCCGTGCTCTGTCACAATGTTTCATTGTGATTAATCAACACTCAAAGGGGTAAAATATAAAATTTGGGGTAAATTTGAAAGAAAGGGAACTTGGAGTGTAGAGCGCACTGCCCACTGGAGGATTCTGAAGCCTGGCCAAGTGAGTGGGGTATGGGTTTATTTGATTGAACGTCATTTCCAATGTATATATTGATACATTCAAACCATTGGCATTTGAGATAAGATAGAGATAGGATGCGGAGGGCCCGCTTAGGAGGAGCGTAACCCATGTTATGGTTTCCATTTATTAAATAGTTCAGATAGGCTAGAAATGACAGGTTTATAGTGAGAGAATGTACCATACTGGGAAAGCATAATTTTCATAGGGTTCAGAGCGGCTGAGCTGTTCGTTTGTAGTTTGACCTTCCTTCAAAACCCATTTGGCTCTAGAACAATTTTAAACTTGTTCTGCATTATTCACATGTTGCAATTATTGAAGAGAGCTCGATATAAGATAGCCACAGATAACAGACGTTAAGGCTCCAAAATTTATCTAAAAACTTGTGTAAAGATTCCTATTCGGCTTAAGCGCCACTAACGGCGACTTCTCCACTTAAAAAGCCTCTTTGACAACATGATGGCGCTGGCGTTGCAAAACTTACACCATGGTGGGTATATAAATGGTGATACAGCTTTGTCACTATATAGGTGAGGAGGTCGCGGGGGGGGGGGGGGGAAAGTGCGGTTTTAGAGCAAATTGTAAACAAACTCGGTCGCTGGCTGCCATCATGGCTGAATCATGAATTTGACACATTAGAACACCTATATGTAGGCACCTTGACTTACACTAGACACTAAGTCAAGAGCAAATTTTCATTACGTCGAATGTAACAAAGGTAAACAAAGTCGAGCTATGAGTGTCAATCGATGCTCCTGCTATTACACTAATATACTGTCTGAATATAGGATCACATCCCATTTTTAAAATTATTTACCAGTCAAATTGCTTTTTGACGTAATCACCTTCCGATCAAAATAGTTTTCGATGTTACTTAAGTCACCCGTTTTCTATGGAGATGCCGTTTGCCTTAAGTAACAGCACAGAGAAACCAGTGAAAAGTGTACGTTCGTCGTTTCGATTTCTCAGTATTAAAGTGAATAAATCGAACTGTTTGTTGCTAAGATGATTTCGGTGGTCCTAAAATGATGAATGGGCTGCACGTAAGGAGACGTAATTGATAATTCTCCCGAATATCCTGGTAAATACACTTTGACTTAAGTAACAATAGGGGCCACCAAACGACGTATAATATCTTTTGACTCAAAAACCAGTATTTTTTAGCATGAAAGCTAGCGATTTGCATTTGTATGATTAAAACCCGGCTTAATATGTTAAACATTGCTATCACTATGAGATTATATGTGTTTAATTGGAAATAGGAATAACTTTTCGGTCATCAAAACAAAACTTTATTTTTCTCGGATCGGTGCGAATGTTACTTACGACATAATGAAAATTTGCTCTTGAAGTACTGGTAGCGCTAAGTGGAAATTTTCAGCAGATAATTTATCGATACTAGCGCCAAATTGATAGAAAGTGATAAATTTATAGAGGGAATCAGGAGATGCTAGAGCTACGAAACGGCAACGTTTACACTTAACTTTACACAAGTTTCTGACCGAACTTGGACGTCTGGTCTCTGTGAGATAGCTTAATACAATTAAATAGAAATGCCAAAATCTAACCGAGTAGTTTAGCTGGTCTGATTTCGGTACAGTTTGTTGAGGTCGGGTATAGTTTCTGAGTATGGATGCCCATTTTGAAATAACTCATATTAGCACAGAGTAATAGTTTTATTGCTTGGGAACTTTCTTTTGGGATCGTATTTTCTTCATACAATTCTCATTATTCATACTATATTAATCATGATCCGTCTTAAAAAATGTTATATGTTTAAGCCCCGTTCTAGATTTGTTTGTTATTCATATCTTATGCATTGCAGCTCGCGAGAGGTCACCAAATATGGGTTCTTTTTCTCATCCTCAAAAGTTTGGGGGGAGGGGCGATCTGAGAGCTGAATAGAGGCAAATAAAATAGGGAACACAACACCCTGACCCAAACGACTAACCAACGCATGCGGCTCACACTTAACTTGTTCTATTTCTTTCTTCCCCTCATGTACCTGTTGGCAAATGAACAACAGGGACGCTGAAGTAACTGAACCCCTATCAGAGAAATTGGCAACACGGCGAGTAGAGAGAATGACAGCCAGGCGGTGTTTTGAAGTATAACCTCATTCCTTTTGTTACAGTGCGAAATAAAAATACGTTGTTTTTTCAAGTCCGATATTTATACTTTATTTTGACGCGTTTACGAATTCCCCACGGTTAATTCCACTTCGGAACGTCCACCTAATGCCCATAGGTTATGGGCCCAGTTCGGGAATCGTGAAATCGGGACGAATATCGGTGAAAAAGGAAGTTTTTGCGTCGTGGTCGGCGGTTGGTATCGAAAGTTTGTTTCGGCTGCTGTTTGCGTTTTGCGGAGGAGGTACAGTGTACCGCATAAATACTTGTACCGATCCGATAGCTGTGAGCATGGCAGATCCCGGAAAATTTGCCATCAGTAAGCTTGGAAACAGCAACTTTGCGACGTGGCGTTTCCAAATGGAAATGTTCCTCACACGGGAGGAACTGTGGCATGTCGTGGCAGATGACAGACCGGATCCGTTGACGGACGCGTGGATACGCGCGGATAGGAAGGCCAGAGCGACGATTGGCTTGTGTCTTGAGCAAAGCCAATACATCCTGATCAAGGACTGCACAAGTGCAAAAGCGGTTTGGGATGCGCTGAAAGCGTATCACGAAAAAGCTACGATTACGTCGCAGCTATCGTTATTGATCCGGCTGTGTGAAACGAAGCTGAGTGAATCGGGAAACGTAGAGAAACATCTACTGGATATGGATTCGCTCTTCGAGTGCCTGGAAGATGCTGGTCTCAAGCTGGAGGAGAAACTGAAAATCGCCATGGTACTTCGGAGTATGCCAGAGTCGTACCATTTTCTGGCATCGGCTTTGGAAGCTCGCCCCGACGGTGATATCACCATGGAGCTGATCAGGACTAAGCTGCTGGATATGAGTACCGGAAGAGACAGGAACGTGCAGGAAAGTCGGACGCTGATGAGCGGGTACTGAAAACGCAAAAGGTGAGCAAGGACGTAGTGTGTTTCTTTTGCAAGAAACCAGGCCACTTCAAACGGGATTGCCGAAAGTGGCAGGCTCAAAACGCGGAAACGCAGGGAGCATCCGGAAGCAAACCTTCGAAGGGCAACCAGCGGCAAGCGAAGGCTAAGCAGGCGACGGATTCGAGTGATGGAGCTATTTGTTTTTCGGCGAGTGAAACCAATGAAGCCATTTGTGCAGCAGTGAAGCCGGGAAAGTCGTGGACAATTGACAGCGGTGCGTCGTGTCACATGGCTAACAAGGAAGCTTTTTTCGAAGAACTGGAGGAATCACCTGGTGTGACGGTGAGAATGGCTAACGGAGTCTGTACGAGATCGGGTGGTCATGGTTGCGGAACTGTGAAAGTTTGGAATGGCGCCGAAGGATCAGTCGACATCCAGCTGGAGAAGGTGTTGTATGTACCGGAACTGGACAGCGGGCTGTTATCCGTAAGCAAAATCACTGATAACGGATATAAAGTGCTTTTCAAGCAAGATACCGTCGAAGCCCTGAGCAATACGAACAAAGTTGTCGTTCAAGGTGAGCGGTGTGGAGGATTGTACGTCCTTAAGGAGGAAGAGCGTGCAACGCTGGCGGTAACTCATAAGCACACCGTGAATTGCCAACATACTTGGCATCGCAGGTTCGGCCATCGCGATCCTGCGGTAATGGACCGACTGCAGAAGGAACAGCTAGTGACGGGGATGAAAGTGGTCAACTGCGGAGCGAAGATCGTTTGCGAGTGCTGCATGGAGGGAAAGATGGCCCGACTGCCATATCCGCAGCAAGCAGCACGGAGGACGACAGAACCGTTGCAGCTTATCCACACGGATCTGTGTGGACCTATGTCAAACGTGACTCCAGGCGGTAAGAAATACTTCATGTCGCTGATTGACGATTACACACGGACAGAAAATTGATTGCATTGAACCAAACAAAACTTTAGTTGTATTTAAACAAACAATTCCGGTTGAAATTATATTGCATTTTATTGTTTCTATAAAACTTATTCAAATAAACTCAACATAAGATTCTTTTTGTTTTAATAAGCCACTTTTCAATTGCAACTATTGTAAAAATAACAATATTCTATTATTAAGCCAACAATAGTTAATTTTAATTTAGCATTTATTTGCTGTGTCCATTCCCTGGGCCATGAATACAAAAATAACTACCAACCATTCCCTCGTTTTCACCCGGACAAAAATGTAAACAATAACAAAAATGTTCTCATTTGATTAAGTATTGTTTTTAATTGTGAATTTCGGGAAATAAGTACGAGATTTCCGAAAATCTTAAGACTTGAGGTAAGCAAGTAAGCTGCAGTTCAAGCTGCAGTTGTTAAATATAATCAATTTTTAAGTTTTTTTTTCCTTGATTTTTTTCCGTCGATCTTGTGTTCCGTACTGAGTACCAATGCTCCCGACGCCAGGAATGCACCTCCCACACCTGGACCCTACATATCGACCCATCAACTCATGAACCGGTGACCAACGGCTTTACTTCCCTTCCGAAGGAAGGCGTGATCAGTGATTTTATGCCTC